TTTCATATTCAACGCGTGAAATTACATAGAAATACCCTCTCGAATCTTTATAAAAAAAGAGACAAATTTTTTTACATTGTACTTTACGTTGTCTGCGGGGCTGGTCGATATATGGACCAGCAGTCAGGTCAGCGACTCTATCTGAGATATCCAGTGATATGTATACATTTTACATATTCTGAGAGGTCAATTTGTACTGAAATTTCCCCGCAGCCTAAAGGTTAAATAAATGCGGAAAATATCTCTTTTTCACCTCACCCCGCAAACCAAAAGCCTTCGGCAAAGCTGACAAACGCATCGGCATATAGTTGCTACTGTCAATAAATTTCGTACACCCGGCCGTTAATACGACGATCTTCGTCCCATTTAATATTACTCGTGGATCCAAATCGACACGTTTTTCCGTGATGTAACGAAATATGAACTGCGCGTCGAACGCCTTGGCGTTGTGCGCGATGCAGATACTCTGCTTGAAACATTTCGTCGTTCTCGTAACGAAATCGACGAATTGCCTCACCGGATCATCGCGGAACACGAATTCGCGCACACCGCACCACCGGCAACGTACCGTCATGTCGTTCTCATTTGCGCACGCGACGAATTTGTTGCGCGACGCAAAGAGTGGGCACGTGAATTTTCACAGCCGCTGTACCTTCGAGCGTCTCGTCCTGTCGGGTCTCGAAATTGTAGAAAACGAATGCGATGCGCGCGTTTTTTCCTTTGCCGGTGAAATCCTCGCGTGCGAGAGGTCGAATATAACAAAGATGGTTTCCATCTTGATGCGAACTGCAAATGTTACAAACCACGACGCCGCATTTGTGCCCTGCATTCGCTGTTCTGTACAAACGCCCGCATTTGTCACAAAATTGAAAGGCGCTGCATACGATCACGCGACCGTCTCCGTACGATTTTTCGGCTCGGTAACGCTCGAAACACTCGCGCCCGTAAAACATTCCTTTACATTGCTCGTATCGAATTAATTCTTCTTCTTCTGTTTCGCACGACGGCACACCGCGACAACGCGGACATTTATGCGAGCATCGATGAACTCCTCGTTCGGGACGAGAAGGCAGGTTACAAGGAATGCAGTATCCCCTGCTCCCCGCCGCCGCTCTTAAATTTAAAATCGGGCAATAGTGACGCGAACCCTCGCAATAAAGAATATTTAAACGTAGCAAGGATTCGCGTCCGATAGAGGCGAGGAACGCACCACCGTCGTACAACGGTTTTCCGCCTTTCGCAAAAGTAGACGAGGCGTAAACAATTATACCTATCCCCTCCTTGACAAGGTACCGTTGAAATCGCTCAATTTCCCCAATACTACAGCCCTCCTCCGGAATTGTGACGCCTGCTCTCTCCACCGACTCCTGTGCCCATTGGCGTTGTAAGGAGGAGTTCGAACGTCTCATTGCATTCCAACGCTCATGTAACTCGCCCGTGCGGGTGTTACCTCGTTCGAGGTATACTCGAGCGGCAACGAGTGAGCGAGGGAAACAGAGGTTGTCGCTATTCGTTATTGAAAGAATCGACCGTTTCTCGATTCCTTCCGCGCCCAAAGGACGGCCTCCTGTGTCCGACGGAGAGTGGACGGTGCATACGCGTATCGTAAACGACGTAGCGATGTTTATCCTTCCGTTACTGTGCGCAACAGAACTCACGAGAGACCAAATATTCTCGTGAGTCAAGTCACGCGCAAGATGAAAAAAAAGACTTGCTGCACCGTTGGTCAAAGTTGGGGAGTCGAACTACACTCCAATGTAATCATTCGGCTCCGATAAATTTGTCGCGTATCTGTGAATTTCGCGAAACGCACCCTTCACCCATACTACTATTTCAGCACCAGGCTGAATTTCGCGGATCTCAAATGTCGCCTCTTTCCCTATTACCCCGAATTTCTTAAATATACGCGCGTTTTCCGTCCGTAATACGATAAATGTATAATTATTATTATTTTCACCGATCTGTTCGCTTCTTTCGTCATCGGCAGCACTGTCGGGGGTGGCGGGAGTAGCACTGCTACTGCCGGTGTAACGCTCGTTGTTGGTGCCGTCCTGTTTACTATTTTCTTGAGCAACATTTACAATTCCGCCCCCGTATTGCACTGTAAATACAAAAGCCTAATACAAAAATTCTCAATATATTAACAAGCGATTATCAAACTACGGTAAACGAACCAATTAGTGATACATTAGACAGACGCTTCAATTACATTTGATTAAATCCATATATATACGTGTTGTATATAAGGTGAAATAAATATATTGTTATAAAAATAAAAATTTAAGTCAAATTTAATGAAAAATATACTGAGTGCGTGACTTTTCTTATTGCGTCAATTTCTACCGCGTAACATAAGAAAAGCGCGTTTGGACATGCACAATATTAATGAAACTTAGTTATGCTAGATATTAATTTCAAAAATTTATTTTTATGTGATATTTCTTAGCGTAATTTTAAGTTTATACAGGGGAATTAAATAAGTAGGACAACGAGTATATATATATTAAACGTATATTTATTCAATTAAATGAAGTGTCTACCTAATTTATATCGCTAATTGGTTCTTTTATTTCTTTTTTTATTATATCACTTATATATAATATATATATATATATATTACATAACTGTACACTTATATATATTACAATTATATAAAATACTATTCTAACTATTCTAACCTTCCCCCTCTGATATTTCTACAATGGAATCTTCCGTTTCCGAAATAATCACGGGGCGTTCGTCTTCTCCATCGTCATCGGTGTCGTTGATGTCGTCGGCATCTTCGTCATCATCGTAGTCGTCGTCGTCGTCGACGTTCTCGTTGTCGGCGTCGCTGTTGTCGTCGGCATCCTCGTCATCATCATCGTTGTTGTCGTAGTCGTCGTCGTCGTCGTCGTCGTCGTCGTCATCGTTCTCGTCGTCGACGCCGTTGTTGTCGTTGTTGTCGTTGTTGTCGGCAATGATCTCGTTTTCGATTTCCGCGACAAGAGACGGACTGTTTCCCGCTCGTAGCGCTCGTCTTCTATTTGCGCTTCCAGCCGCCTTCTTCGAAGCTCCTCCACCACCCATTGACGCTGTTCTTCTTCCGCTTCTTTCTGTTAGAAATGATCAGATAATATCCCTGGCGGATGCCTAACTTCCAGCATTATCTGCACTTCATCATCTGAAAATTAATATATATATATATATGTTTATATATAATTTCTTTATACATTTTTCATTATGTTTAACTATTTAGTTAGTTTACTTACCGGAATCAACGGGAGGAGGAGGAGGAAGAGAAAGCTCCGCTTCATCTCTACGGGCTCTTCCTAAAATGTGAAAATCACAAGTTAATATATACTTTTATTCGAAAAGTTAGTAATTCTTGTTTTATCGCTTGTAAACTTACGCAGCGGAGGTTCATTTGCTTCTTCTTCTTCTGACCCCTCTCGTCGGCGACGTTGGGCCGTAGGAGCAGGGCGTTGCTTTGGCAACACCCTGGCTACCGCCCGAGGTTCCACACGGGGCGATACGCTCGCAACTTGCTGCTGCTGACAAGAAGCAAAACGGGATGACGTCGGTGCAGCTTCTTCTTCGTTTACCGTTACTTCGTTACGATTGTTTTTTCACTAAAGTAAATGAAACATGCAGTACAGTACACTTTCCCAATAATGCCACTCTCAATACTGCCGTTCCCCTATTTCTCGCTCGAGCGCTTCCCCCTCCAGCTAGACAAGTTTGACGAGACTGTGATTGAGTTCATACCTTCTGAATACTGCCGTTCCCTATCATAAGTTTTTTCTGTGCTTTCTGGACGATATTGCTACTCAAAATGCATCCGATACGATATATCGATGGATAAAAATAAGAAGAATNAATTGTTTATCAATAAATGTACTTGAAATTAGTAAAAATATTATATTTTAATTATTATACATATAACAAATGATAATATGTAATACAATAAAGTAACCATTTTGAAAAAAAAGAACTAACAAATAAAAACAAAACAAACTCTTTACGTAAACAAATAAATAAACAAAATTATATTGTATTACTGATTTTTCTGAGAAACTTCATTTTCTGAGGAAATAAATTCAAATGTCTTGGATAATTTGGAAGGCCTTATATAATGTAGAAGAGAAAGAAGGAAAGACTGGGTCATCTGCAATCNTAGATTCACTACATTCGTTTTCTTGTAAATTTGAGCACGAACTCTCTACTTGAGAAATAATTTCTGGATCGGATAGCTCTCCATCTATAAAAATTTTAGAACAATCCTCAATACATCTTATTTAAAACTCACAGGAAAATTGCAATCATACCTTGTGGCTTTAAGGGCATTAAATATTGGAAAAGTGTTTTTTCTTCTATATTCTCGTAACCTTTAACATTTTTAATTAATTGCAGAAGATCATTGCATTTTGTACTTTTTTGATGGAAAAGATCCTCAGAATCTGCACCTATTGATGCGTCTAGAAGTGACAGTGTTGTTTCATCTTCATCCGTTTGTGTTCCAATATCACATCTCTTTATTGGCCAAAGTTTGTTCCAACATTTGTAAATTGTAGNTGAACTTAGTTTTTTCCAAGCTTCAGCAATCCAAAAAATTACGTGGCGAATCGTGAGTGATTTNAAATGTTCAATTAAACTAATGCCTTTTGTTTGTGACTCCNATACTGAGTTAACTAAATAAAATTGGTAATTGACTTTTAAACATTGTAAAATTCCCTGATCAAGAGGTTGAATAATCGAAGTCACATTAGGAGGAAGAAAGGCAACTTCTATTCCATCAATTTTCAGGAACTTATGAGATCTGCAGTTATCTATAACAAGTACTGCTTCTAAGGGCAAATTCCTTGATTTCAAAAATTCTCNAACATTGGGGACAAAGTCTTTTTNAAACCATGATTGAAAAATGTCTTTGTCAACCCAAGCGTTATGCTGATTTTTATAAACTACAGGCAACGCATTCATATTTTNATTTTTCAGACACCTAGGGTTTTTTGATTTACCAATAAAAAGAAGAGGTAACTTTAAGCTTCCATCTCCATTGCAGCAAGCTGCAATTGTAACCCTCTCAATCTGTTTTTTGGTTCCTGAAACTTGACTTACATTTTTGGGAGCAAATGTTTTTTTAGGTATTTGTTTGAAATAAAGACCGCTTTCATCGAAATTAAACACTTGAGCTCTGGTTAAACGTTTGCTGCTAATCATTTTCTCAAATTCTATTTTGTATTTATCAGCTGCTTCAGCATCAGCTGACAGTTTCTCTCCAGTGATACGCAGTGTTCGCACATTTTTCCTGCATTTCCATTTGTGCAGCCAACCTTCACTAGCTTTGAAATTGCTAGATCCACCTAATTCACGGTTCAAATTCAAAGCTTTTTGCCTTAATATTGGACCGGATATGGGAAGGCCTTTCTGCTGGGCTTCAACTACCCATATAAACAGCGCATCATCTAAATTATTGCATGATGAAGACAGTTTTTTGACATTTTTTAAAGTATCATGCTTCGCAATTTCAATAATTTCATTTTTGTTTTTCTTCCAATCACGCAACGTACGATCACTGATTTTATATTTTCGGCATATAACAAGTGGATCAGATTCCATATCACATTTGTTCAAAATTTCTACTTTTTGTATAGATGAATATCGCATGCGCGATTTCTTTGCAACATCGATGTTTTCTTTTTCACTTGATTGTGATAGAGATGACAACGTTTCAGTCCCTACATTTTTTCGTTTTCTGGATACCATTCTCATTCTCAGAAANAATACTTATTATGTATCTAAATATTTACCTTGTATTGATCTGATAGAAAATGATAACTCGTCACATATCACTNTTTTAAACATTCAAACTTATATACAAAGAAAATAAGTATCTCAAATTTTATAAGATAGGAACACAGAGACTAGATATCACTTACCCTTGAGTGAAACTATTCAATAGAAGTTGTTGTATTCAACGATAAGTGAAAATTACATCTGATGTCTCTATGTCCTGGCTTTAATGGACTGTCGAATGAGGTTAGACTATTTTTCTCCGTGCACTTTCAATATATGTAATTAAGGTTAATGAAACATTTTAAATTCTATATATTTTGAATGTAGAAATGTCTTCTATGCATATAATAATATGTTTCCTCATGCAAAAGTGAAATACATTTTCAATAAAGTAAATTCAATGCAGATATGTATGTATCTGAGAACACGGACACATTTGTTGTTACATACATAGATTTTTCATTAAGATCCGGGATGACAATTTCTTCCGAATAC